CCTCCTCTGGCAGCTCTAGGCGTTTGGCCTGCGATATGTGCGAGGCGACTTTGATGACCGACAACTCTCTGCCAGGAAGGATGTCCATGTCATCCAGGCGATCCCAGATCTCGAGCCAGACGTGCGCATAGGGCCTGGCCGCTGAACAACACCATGCCCTGCCACGAGCCAAGCCTTGGACCACCTGAGCATTGTCAATGATGATGGCCGTGATGAAGACCGAATGCCTGAGGGCGTGGAGGAGACCCCACAACTCTGCCAGGACCGAGCTGGGGTCGGGAAAGGGCAGTGGGCCGTACAGGCCCTGCACCACGTCGTCGGCCTCCGCTGTGCACTGCAAAGCCGCCCAGCCGCCGTGCCTGAGGTCATCCAAGCCTTTGACTGATCCGTCCGAAACCAGCACATCGGTGAGCTCGGGGGCCGCGCCATTAACGATCCAATGGGTGCGCTGCGACGGTAGACTCCAAGCCAAGCCGTAACATGGGGTTCGCCGCAAACCCCGCTCCCACAACCATCTTGAGGCTTCCGACGAGGAGGCCGACACGCCCAGGTGGCCGACGTCTCTGAAGGTAGGTGACGCGTCGTGGGCCGTCAGCTGCTCCCTCACCGTAGCACACGTCGGGCTGCCGCACCGCCAGTAATAGTGCTGGTGGGTGCCGAAACAGGTCGCGTCGTCGCAAAGCTGGCAATGCGGAGTGTCCGCCTGGCCCGAAGAGAAAAGGGCCTCCTGCGAAGGGAAACCGCCCAACACCGCCTTCTTGACCGCGTCGGCATGGTGTTGCAGCCACCCGTCCTGCTTGCGCCGCTTGACCAACTGCCTCGCTGGGGTGAGCCACGGCGCTGGCAGGAGCGCAGCCCGCTCGGGCTGAGCCGCCGCCCACTGGCACAGGGCTCTGGAACGGGCGGCCAAAAGCACGGCGGCCTCGACCGACTTGGGGCAAATCTGCAGTAGATCAAGATGGACGTCCCCTCCTTGGAGCACCCCGCCACGTGGAGGCAAGACAATCTCGAAGGCTGACGGCATGCTCCAACCATGGGCTCGAACTGTGACTGAGGTGGCCCCCGCTGGGCCGCGCACCACTGACCACAACTCCTGAGCGTCGGCGTCCATGTACAGCGCGAGCCGTTGCTGCACTCGGGCCCATGCTGTGGCCTGCGCACGCCGCCCCTCTGGGTGGTCCCAAGCTTCCCTCGCCCAAGCCAGCAGCGGTGCCAGAACGAGGGTGTCGGCGCAACTGGGGTCGAGGCCGTCGTGCAAGACTCGGGAGGTAAAAGCTGTGGCGCCCCTGCGGACGGCCCGATCCTTCTGCTGGATGAAACGCACGATGGGCCTGGGCGTGCCGCGGACACGGGCGCCGTAGGCGACCGAGGCCCCGAGGCCCTGCCGCACGACCATCTTGAGCTTGCCCCCGCGTGCACGAGGAAGGCCGCGGATCTTAGGCCAACGCTGCTTGGCTATCTTGAGCCGCGCGTGTCTGACTGGGGCTGACTGGTTCTCTGTCTTGACGCTGGGACCGTAGTCGATGCCGAGCCACCGCTCGGAGGTGCTGGGCGGTACCCCCAGGACGGCCATGGCCTGCGTCAAGCCTGAAGACGGAGTGGCCGTTTGCAGGAAAGAGCACTTGCCTCTCGCCCCGCCCCGCGCTCGGGCTACCTCCAGGCCCAAGGAGGACTCCAGCATCCAAAACAGCAAGCGCGTGGCCTGCGGCAGCATGTGCAAGACGCGCGCCTCGGTGGACATGACCCGCAGGGCGATGTCATCAACGTACAAGTAGATCGTGAGGCGGAAAGCCCCCAGCAGGTCGTCTAAGCACAGCGTGAGGTAGAACCTCAGGAAGGTGGGCGCGAAACGGCTGCCCGCTGGGAGCGCTGTGGAGGACAGGACCTCCGCCGAGCAGGCCTCCCCGAGACGAATGACACGGCCAAAGGCGAAACTTTCCAGGGCGAGCGCGACCACCTCCAGCGGGCCGCCCCACCAAGCTGCTAGCCACCACATACGCTCATGCGGAACCTTCTCATAACACTTGGCGAGGTCCGCCAGCATCGTGGCCGCACGTATGCCTGTGCCCAACACGAGCTCGTCGTCCAACAAAGCTTTCCACAGCGCACGCTCCGATGATTGGCCCGCCGCCGTGTAGTCGTAGCTCCTGGGGTGCGCCGCCAACCAGCTCCTGATGGTGGGCAGCTGCCACGCCTCCCAGATTCGGCAAGGGCCAGGTAGAAGAATGATGGGTCGGCCCCCTCCATCGAGCTTCCCGATGATGAAAACGAGCAGGAGGTGGACCTGGGACGGCCACCGCCCCAGTGGTTGGCACCAGGCCAGCAATGACGCGAGCACCGAGAGCGTGCTGTCCGTGAGGTAGGCCCAAAGCTTGGGTTGACATCCGTCCACGCCAATCCCCGTCTTGGCCCTGCAACGCTGGGCCAAACCGCGCAGGTGGTGAGGGCTGGGCGGCGTGACGGCGACTTGCTGGAGGCCCCTCCACGGCTTGGGGAAACCTGAGCCAGTGGTCCAGACCTTCGACCAGTCGTGCAACTCCTGGTCCACGGCGGCCTGAGGCGCCGCTGGGAGCAGCTTCTTGGAGATGCTGCCCTTGGGAGCCTGCCAAGCCTGGCGCCACTTGGTGACCCTGTGGAGGAGCCCCTGCGAGCCTGGGAAGTCGCCCTCCAACCGATGCTTGAAGGAATCTCGTCGTTCCTTGCCGATCTGCCACTCCAAGTACGAGGCATACTGACTGCAGCTGAGGCGCCAAGCCGAGAGCTCCTGCAAGTCTTCATAGCCGCGGTCCCGAGACGTGAAAACCTCGAAGAACTCCTGCAGCTCAGCCACGCCTTCTGACAGCATGTGGTGCCTGAAGCGGTCACGCAACTTGCGGATGGAGGCGTGCCGCTGCTGGTGCAACGTGGTGAAGACCAGGTCGGAAGCGCCCGTGTAGCTGAAAAGCTTTACTTCAATGATGCCCAGCCAAGCCAACTCGTTGGCAAACCACCTCCAACGCTTGGCCTCCCCGTACGAAGCGATGGCCTCGGTGTGGGTCGGGAGCAACGGGCACTTCCTGAAGCGCGGTGGCCCCCCACGCCCTCGGCATTGATCGGCTTGCCGACTGCTGGGGTCCAAACCCACCTTCTGGATCAGCTCCTCCTCGGCGGCGTGGCAGAAAGCCTCCCAGGTGTCGTCCAGGAGCTCCTGGGTAGGCACCGCATCGGGATCGAAACCTGCAGGCACGTCTGGGCACGAGAGATCGAAGTGCCTCGGCTTGACTCCTGGGATCGGGAACTTGTGGGGTCGGATGAGCTTGGTGTAGGTAAAGGCCGACCAAGGCTGCTGAAACTCGACCCATGTGGCCCTATGAGGGTGGTAGACCGCGTCGTCGTCAATGCGGGCTGGGGAAATATTGGCAGCCAAACTGGAGTGCATCCAGAAATAATCGATCACGCGCTCACCGTGCGGGGAGCGGTTGGTGCCCCCTTCCCCTTGCCACGCTACGACGCGGCCTCTGAGCTGGTTGTTCCACGGCGAACGCTCCAAAGCGTCAGGTAGATTCTCCCAGTCCGCGATGACGATCCAGGGCAGCTGGAGCTGGACTGCCCACCCCGTGATAACTGACAGGAGAGCTGAATTGCCCACAGACGCCAACTTCTGACCAGTGACGCAATACGCACAGAAAACCAGTAACTTGCCGATGCCCTTGGCCTCGAGGGTGGCCATCAGGAGCCTGCATGCACAACCTGGGGGAGATATGTCCCAGTGTCGCTGTCCAGATGCAAGAGTGACGCCGACGCAGGCAGGTATCGCCAGCAAGACGCCCGCCGAGGCCCCTCCATTCGGGCCGTCCGTCGCTGGCGTGGGCAGGGCCCTCCAGCCCAAGGGCAGCAGGGCCCGTGCGCTCTCTTCGGCCCATAAACGCCGCTTGCCGTGCTCCTGGAAACCGATGATCGGAATCTTGCCCTCGGTGAGCTGCTGGTGTGCCGCGCCGTGGAGGTAGCCCACAACGTTGCCCCAGCTGAGGCTGGCATTGACGCTGTGGAAGGTGAAGCGCCTGTGGCTCCGCTGTCGACGCTTGCCTCTGCGGGCTCCTGCTGCTGAGGGTCGATACTTGGCGACGTCGCACTGGGGCTTTGCCGAAGTCCCGCTGCAGGTGGACTGGCCGCCAACACTGCCGACACTGACGTCCCCGCCCTCGGTAGGGTGTGCCACAGTCTCATGGGCCATCTCGATGATGTTAGGCTGCCCAGGGCCGCAGTGGCTTTCCCCAGATGAGACAGCTGAGCCTGCAGAAACAAAAACTGACGTAAGCAACGCCTGACTGCCTCCGTGGGCAGAGCCACCAACACCTGCTGTAACAACTGGGTCCGAGAAACCACCATCTGACGTAAATTGCGCCTGAGGGCCTCCAGCGGCCAAAAAAGGCCCGCCTGTGGGAGCAGCAAAGCCCGAGCAACCACCAACTGGCGTAAGCTGCTCCTGAGTGCCTCCAACGGCGACAGAGAAACCATCTACAGTTGAGGCATCTGAGCCAGAGGGGCCACGGCCTGACGCAAGTTGCACCTGGGTGCCTCCAGCGGCCAAGAAACCACCATCCGTGGAAACTGTAGAGCCCGAAACACCACTGACTGAAATAAGCTGCGCCTGGGTGCCACCATCGGCGGCCGAGAGACCATCGCCCGTTGAAACAGCTGAGCCAGAGAAACCACCCACTGACGTAAGCTGATCTGGGCTGCCTCGGACGGCAGAGAGACCACCAGCTGAAATACATGGGGCAGCTCCTCGGTGCTCGTCCGTGAGGTTGCACGCGGCTGGGGTGGGAGTGAGCTCGGTGCATTCAACGGGCGAGGCAGAGCAACACAGCGGCTCCTCCGAGGTCCCAGTCGAGGTGGACGGGCCGAGGTCGGCCTCCAGCACCTTCGCGGCGCACAACCTCCAGCAGTGGATGCGGTCGTCGAAGTAGACGGTGGGGGCCTGCGTTCCCGACGTCGCCTGGGACTGGCGGTCGAACCAC